TCTCGTGTACAGGCACTTAAATTTTTGGCAGGAAAATTGCTCTTGAACAGCTGGGTCATTTTAAAAAAACAATCGTTGAACGGAATTGTTTATTTCCGTTTATGCAAAATTTACGATGATTTATGGTATTGAGCGCACAAATTAGGTGTGAAGAAACAACCATTCATGCAGTTAATTTAATTAGTTCAAGTTTGGTGCGACAGCGCATGACCGCACCGGCTCTTCTGGTGTTTTCCAGCCTGGGTTTTTTGAAGTAGATATGTCCCCAGTTATTTACATTTTTAATAAGCCGATTATGAATGGTGGCACTCAGGAATGGTCTTACTCAACACATATTAACGACACTTTAAAATGACTGATTCCTTGTCGTAAGTTGGGAGAATTGTTTAGTTGATAGTCCTTTCACGACAAGAAAATAGTCTTCAGGATTGCCAGTGGACTGACCACTATACAGTACAGCAGTAGTAGACGCAACCAGAAAAGTTGCATCTTGCACAACTATTAAATCAGACTATGAATTAACAGCTGTGTTCCTAGAATTGCAAGTTTATTTTTATTGTAGGAGCACGGGAAAAATGAGAAATTAGGAAAAAGTTGACAAATGTAAATGATTTGAAATCTTGAAATATGATTATGATTTGAAATATGATTTGAAATATGATTTGAAATCTTAAGTCGTTATGATTGAATCTCTTGTCCGACATATTTGTAGATCTCAGCGATGCCGGATTTGTCGGGCCTGCATTCTCTGCAACATCTCGATGTTTCGTATAATGAGCTCACCGACTTTCCTACAACATTTTCAAGTCAGTCAAAGCTACAAACGCTGGCTTTGAATTCAAATCATATCCGTGATCTACCAACGGAGGCTTTCTGCGATTCCTTAAAGAGTGTAAATTTATCCGATAATGAGCTTGTCGATCTTCCTCACATGTTTTGTGGTTGTAGCAAACTGAAGGTGCTGGAACTTGCGAATAATAGGTGAGGTAATTTATTGCGATTTCTTCTAGATATTTGTTAGTACTCTTTTTGCCGCCTTTTCTCTCTCCACTCAGTTTGGTACTTTTTTTTGTTCCCAGATATGAAGCAAAGATCGGAAAGAAGGGAATAATTCTTATCCCCAACAATTTCGTATAGTTTTATTATCAGTTTTATTTTTGTTTTAATTTTTTTCTTCGCCTGATTTTTGGTGCAACAGATAAATGTTATTGTTTGGTCGGAATGAAGACATTAGCCTCCTTCTTGTATTTAAATTTTATAATTTCAGATTCACAGATAACCGTTTTAAAAAGTTGGCTGAAGATCCAAGGCATAAAACCTCAGCTCTGTTAGAATACATGAAGAAAAAAGCGCCCAAGGCCTTAACTAAAGCGAAGGATACGAAGAAACCACAGTTGAATTCAACCATCGATGACCGCAACGTCGATGACAAGCAAGAATCAAACGGCCTGACTATAAAAGTCTGCTACGGCATGAATAGCGTGAGCGAATATTTCAAACTTTTTATGTGTTTTGTGCTGTGTAACAGCAGCACAAAACTGTGTAACAGCAGCAGCTTTCAACTCGGTGACCACAAAAGCTAGGAAGCTGAAAATTTAGGGGAACGTTCCCCACCCACGTGTGACCCCGCAAAT